GATTATTTTAAAACGATGTGAACAATACAGGAATTAGAATCGGGCAATTCCAAAATATCCTTTACCAGTAAAAAGTTGATGTTACTTTACTATTATGTCGGGGAGCTGGCAAAAGGGATTGATGCACATCAGGACCCATGCGCAGTGCGACCGATGCACACCAGGACTGATGTGCAGCTGGACATCAGTTCGGGAGTAGAGTCCCATCAGCATCTCCACAATTCAGTAACAAAGAACTGCATCTCAGTTAAAGTGATGTCAAACAGCTTTAATTCTGCCATGTGGATGCACCCAGAGAGTGTGTGACAATAGTCCAAATGGGGTGCAATCGAGGCTTGTGTAAACATGGTCAGATCTGGCGTCTAAAGGAATGGATGCAGCTGGTGCAAAAGTCTCAGCTGTGCAAATGCACTCCTGTGTCAGGATCATGGTCCAGACATGGTCCTGCCATGCTTCATTGCCGTGCTTGGGGATGTGTGTGTTCATAGGGGATGATGGGTTATGCTATCCTCTTGGTGATGCTGGAAAAAGAAAAGATTGTGTATCATTCATGACCTGGGATATTGAGCAGATGCATGGGGCGGGAAGGAGGGAACAAACTATAAATTACCAAGTTAATTCTTACGGGGAACTGTTGCTTGGTATGAAGGAAAATACGAGGGGTGAGACGGGTGAAGATAGTATGTTTTGAGTTGCTAGCAAATGAGATAAAGCAGTGGTTCCCAAATTCTAGTCCTCCAGGTGTCTTGGACTCCAGCTCCCAGAATCTCCAGCTAGCTTGGTAGTCAGGAATTCTGGGAGCTGGAGTCCAAAGAGGACCAAAGTTTGGAAACTACTGGGATAAAGGCTTTTGGGACGGGTGAATCGTTTGGGCTCTCATTATACAGTGTAAGTGAAAAAATTCTTCAGACCTGGCAAAAGTGATGCAGTGTGATCAGTTTTGCTTACTGAACAAAGCTTTTCTGAATCTACTGGCGGCTTGCGTCCCTCGAGTTAGCCTGTATATTACATCCTGGCAGGAACTAGTTAGATTCTTCCTCTCAGCCCACCTGAAAAGTCTTGGTGGTCTCCCATCCAAACACTAACCAGGCCTGACCCAGCTTAGCTTCTGACCTCAGATGAGACCAAGACTACAGCTTGGTAATAGGATAAGTGGGAATGATTGTTGCTTCTGCTCTTTTCCAAATTTAAACTGGAAAGTTTATTTCCATCCCAGGCAAGATCTCCAAACAGATTGGTATCTTCCTCTAGACAGAGCCTCAGGCTTGAATGCTGCATGTTTTAGGACCGACCAAAATGTAAAACAAATGTGGTGGCTTGCTTTGAATCTATGCTCTGATCCACAGATAAAACCATCCAAAGTTGCCCTAAAAACACTCCCTTTGAAAGAAGACTCTGACATAAATCTGAGTACAAGTCTCACAGACTGCACTCTTTGTTCCCTGACAGGTTTTGGACTTCAGCTCCCAGAATCCCTGACCATTGGCCAAACAGGTTGAGACGCCTGGGAAGTGAAGTCTGGAGATTGGATCGGAAGACTCTGGAGGCCAGGGATCCATTCCCTGCTCATTCATTAGAACCCATCGGGTGACCTTCGATGAGTCACACACTCTCAACCCCAGAAAAGTCTGGGATAGGTTCATGTTAGCATTGCCATAACGCAGAAATGACTTGAAGGTACACAACAATGAATTCCATGTGGCTTGTTTCAAGAATGGGAATACATCCTTACAACAGTTGTTTTGGTGTTAACTTCTCCCTGACCTCCATTTTGAGTTTGATTGGGAGTTCCTGCAGGGCAGAATGGGGTTGGACTGGGTGGCCCTTGGGGTCTCTTCCAACTCTAGGATTCTAGGATTCTAGGATTTTGCACTTCTGATTATAGACATTTATTTCACTTCTCTACTGGAAGATAAAGCTGAAGGAAGAGAATGAGGCTACAGAAGAGTGTTTTCTGTGGACCATCACCACCACCATCATCACGGACATGGTGATGATGGTCCACATAACACAACCACTTAAATGCGGTGGAAAGATTTTGGCTATGCTCATGGTTATGTCCAGTGAATGTCCAGTGAGTCCTTCCATGACCCTCATGGATCCCAAAATCCATGGATGCTCAAGTCCCATTAAATACAGTGGCATAGTAAAATGGTGCCCCTTATACAAAATGGCAAAATCAAGGGTATGCTTTTTGGAAGTTGTATATTTTAATAAATATTTTCAAGCTGAGACGCTTGAATTTGTGGATAAAATATCCGTGGATATGGAGGGCTGAGTGCTTTCAAGCTGCCATTAATTTTGTAGGGCTTTCTTATGCAAGAAATATTTAGAAGTGACATTTGCTAGTTCCTATGTGAGAGGGTTTCTTTTCTTCTTCCTTTTCTCTATGCAAACATTTGCAAATTCAATCAGGTTAATCTATCTAAGCTCAGAGGATGGCTTATTAAAATCTCCTTCCTCAGGTTGCAACAGTTAAAAACTGTCTTTCAAATTGACCAAGGCAGATCAGAATGGCAATCTTTTAAGATGTATCGGAGGACTTATTTAAGATGCACTTCAAGACCCTGTCTTTTAAATGTGGCAATGCATCTTCATCTTGGCTTGTAGTCTTGCTTGCCTTGAAGACAGCATTGGAAAAATGGAGCAAAAATCGATCCATCAATGCATGCCTTTAATTACTTGAACTCAACAAACATCCAAATAGCACTTTCCTCTCTCTTTTAACTTACTGCAAAGAAAAGCGTGGGCCATTTTTCAGAAACCTTCCTGCCACTGGGTGCAGAACCAAACAGCGCAACCCCCGGTGTTAATTACACCAATTTTCCTCCTTGATTCGAGGCATCCGAATAGTGCAAAGTCTCTCACCATTGTGTTACCTTTCAGCAATGAGGTCCTGTTGACCTTAGCACACGTCTTCCTTGGCCTGTTTTGCTGCGGAGATCAAGTTGAAATGAGGACTTCACTGGAACATCTTGTTCAAAGCTAAAGGACGGGAAATGCGAGAAACTAGCCATCTTTATTCGGGGGGGACACACAAATACATGCCACTACAAGAAAGGTAATCAGATCTGATGGGGTGAGGATTTATGAACCACAGAAAATATGGAAAAATGATTCCCCCCCCCCCTTGCTCCAAGCTTCAGAAATCTTGGACCAATTGCTCTTTTAAATTGTGAGATGCTTTGAGCATTTGGGGGGAAAGTAGGTTATAAACAAACAAATAAACAAACAAACAATTAACAGACCAGAGGTGGTCCCTGGGCTGATGGTGGTCCACAAGCCATTGGCTCAAAGCCATTTCTGCAGAGTTTCCAGGAAAGAAAGAAACCAATGTAGTGAGTGAATAGGCACAGGTTTAGTGCCGCTCCCTGGCAAAATAGAACAATGCCAGTCTTTCATGCCAGACAGACTGAGAAGCAAGACCCAGCATAGCCTAGTGGTTTGAGTGCTGGACTACAAGCCTGGAAGCCAGGGTTCAGTTCCCCGCTCAGCCATGAAATGCATTGGGTGACCTTGGGCAAATCACACTCTCTCAGCCTCATGGGAAGGCAATGACAAGCATCCTCTGAATAAATATGATATTCTTGCAAACAAGATAGTAAAATGTGGGCTTGACAATACAACTGTAAGGTGGATTAGAAATTGGTCGACTGACCAAACCCAAAGGGTGCTCAGCAATGGCTCCTCTTCT